TAGTCCTGTGAACAACCAGAAGACCCCAAGGTGATGCTCACTTGCCTGCCTGGAAGGAGGTGGGCCACAGGACAGATTGAAATATCAGTCAAGCACTGAGCACGGACCTGCGGTGGGCCCAGTTCCCGCTACCCAGCTGCAGCGGGGAGAACGGGGGCCGGCGGAGGCTTGGCTTTGCCTCTCAGCAGTATTCCTCATGCCAGTATTTGGGGGTGGCCAGGGCCCTGCCGGGGGCAATTTTCCAAGATGGCCCAAGCTGCTCAGAGTTCTTAACTTTCTGACACGTGATCAGAGTTGTTTGCTCCCAGAGACCAGAGTCTCACTCCTCCATGCCTCTTGATGGCTCTCCAGGCCTGCAGGCCGTGGTTGTGAGCAGATGCCCACATGCTGAGGCCAAGCTGGCCTGAAAGCCTGGGGCCCACTGTGCTCTCTGCATCAGCAGGCGGCTCCCACCTCCTTCCCCAGCACCCCCATCGGGACATGAGATCTGGGTGTGGTCTGGTAGAAGGGGCTCCTCGGCATGGGGTGATGGGGCTGTGACTCTCCCCCCAGCGGCCAGTGACAGTGACTACCCTCCGGGGGAGATCTTCCTGGACAGCGATGTGAACCCTGAGGATTCCGGTGCCGACGGTGTGCTGGCAGGCATCACCCTGGTGGGCTGTGCCACCCGTTGCAACGTGCCCCGCAGCAACTGCTCCTCCCGAGGGGATACCCCAGTGCTGGACAAGGGCCAGGGTGAGCTGGGCCTGCGCTTGGGCGGCCACCTTCCCTAAACCCCTTTGTTCCTCCCCACCACCCGGCCAAGCCCACCCTTCCCTTCTGCAGGGGAGGTGGCTACTGTCGCCAACGGGAAGGTCAACCCATCTCAGTCCACGGAGGAGGCCACAGAAGCCACGGAGGTGCCAGACTCTGGGCCCAGCGAGGCAGAAGCAGCCGCAGTGCGGCCTGGGCCCCTCACGGAGCATGTCTTCACCGACCTGGCCCCTGCCCCGGCCCCCAGTGCCCAGCCTGGCAGGTGGGCTCTCTCAGGACGGGGCAGATGGAGGGGAGGGGAGACTGGCCGAGGTGGGCGGGGACAGGCTCCCACGGGCCACCCTGGAGCAATCATCCTTCTTGCAGTGAGAACGGGCCGGAGGCCGACACGGGTGGGGTGCAGCCCGAGCCAGAGCCCAGCGCAGACCCTGCAGGGACCAGCAATAGCGCTGCCCCCACCATGTGGCTGGGAGCCCAGAACGGCTGGTAGGTGGGGCCCCGGGTCAGGGGTTGGGGAGGGTCTCCTGGGCGAGCACCCCTGCCCACCATGGCCTCCTCCCACAGGCTCTATGTGCACTCAGCCGTGGCCAACTGGAAGAAGTGTCTGCACTCCATCAAGCTAAAGGACTCTGTGCTGAGCCTGGTGTACGTGACCCCAGCTGAGGGTGGGGCGTCGGGAGGGAGGGGCCGGCCACCAGCCTAAGCCCGCTCGCTCACCACCATCCCATTCCAGGCACGTGAAAGGGCGAGTGCTTGTGGCCCTGGCCGACGGGACTCTGGCCATCTTCCACCGAGGTGAAGGTGAGGTCCAGGGGCTCTGGGCAGGTGAGCGGCCACCCCCACTGAGGGCAGAGGTGGGCCCTGGGCAGGCCTGAGCAGGTGTCTGGGGCTCTCTGCAGATGGCCAGTGGGACCTGAGCAACTATCACCTGATGGACCTGGGCCACCCCCACCACTCCATCCGCTGCATGGCCGTCGTCTGCGACCGCGTCTGGTGTGGCTACAAAAACAAGGTGCACGTCATCCAGCCCAAGACGATGCAGATTGAGGTGAGTGCTGGTAGCAGGAGGGCCTCGTGGGAAGGCAAGTGGCTCCTGCTGGTGGACGGCGCTCCCACCGTGCCTTCTAATGGGCCCTGGGGGCGTTGTGTGGTCAAGGGAGGTGACTGCATCACAGCTGGCAAAGGGCAGCTGGGCTGTGAGCACCAGTCCGTCTGGGTTGTACCTGCTGCTTTACTCGGCAGCAAGTCAGGCCAAGACCCGCAGGGGCCCCACACGCCTCCCCAGGACGGGGTCGTGACTACAGCTCCTCGCAGGAGCCTGCACCCTAAGGGGCAAAGCAGGTACTAGACTGAAGGCTGCAGGGAACTGCATGGGCGTCTCCGTGACCAGTGGCCATGGCGGGTTCAGAGCCCCCACCCCCGCTGATGCGCTGCCACGACCCCACAGAAGTCATTCGACGCCCACCCACGGCGGGAGAGCCAAGTGCGGCAGCTGGCGTGGATCGGTGATGGGGTGTGGGTGTCCATCCGCTTGGATTCCACATTGCGGCTCTACCATGCCCATACCCACCAGCACCTGCAGGACGTGGACATCGAGCCCTATGTCAGCAAGATGCTGGGTGAGGGGCTGCGCCGGGCTCGGGCGTCAGGGCAGGGAGGGCCCCCCGCACCAGCCGTGCCGACTGCCTCGCCCTCCTCACCCCAGGCACAGGCAAGCTGGGCTTCTCCTTCGTGCGGATCACAGCCCTGCTCATCGCGGGCAACCGCCTCTGGGTGGGCACCGGCAATGGAGTGGTCATCTCTATCCCGCTGACCGAGAGTGAGTGACCCCCCCGCCCCGACATCTGCACAGGTGGTGGTGACTGCTGCTGAAGGACAAGAGTCAGGTGGGGTGGGGGGGGCACGATTGGCCAGGCCTTGCTCCGGGGGACGGGGATGCTGCCCGCCCTTCCCGTGACATGTCTCCTCTCCCTTCCATGCTGCGCCCCTCACTTCCCCAGCCGTGGTCCTGCACCGAGGCCAGCTCCTGGGGCTCCGAGGTGAGTCCAGAGCACATGCCTCCTGCCCTCACAAGGAGGCCCCCACCTGAGATGCCCTGTGGCTAAGGCTGGCCTTGCCCCTTGGCGGAGGGCGCTCTCCCGCGCACCGCCCTTGCCTGCTGGAAAGCTGGTCTCCTACTCAGGCTCAGGCCCTGCGGCCCTTCTCTCTCTCCAGCAAACAAAACCTCCCCCACGTCTGGGGAGGGAGCCCGCCCTGGGGGCGTCATCCACGTGTACGGTGATGACAGCAGTGACAAATCGGCCAGCAGCTTCATCCCCTACTGCTCCATGGCCCAGGCCCAGCTCTGCTTCCACGGGCACCGTGATGCCGTCAAATTCTTTGTGTCGGTGCCAGGTGAGGGGCTGGGCCCCATCCGTGCTGGGCTGCCGCGTGGCCTCCCTCCGCGAGCCTGTGGGGGGGGCACTGGCCGCCCGGCTGAGCTCCCTGTGTCCTGACAACAGGGAATGTGTTGGCCACTCTCAACGGCAGTGTGCTCGACAGCCCCTCTGAGAGCCCCGGGCCCGCCGCCCCTGCCTCAGACGCCGAGGGCCAGAAGCTGAAGAACGTTCTGGTGCTGAGCGGCGGGGAGGGCTACATCGACTTCCGCATCGGTGAGTTGGCGCTGCCCGGGGTCCCGGGATCCCCAGCAGGGCCATCCCATCACCGCACCTCTTTGTCCAGGGGACGGAGAGGATGATGACACCGAGGAGAACACTGGGGACATGAGCCAGGTGAAGCCCCTGCTGTCCAAGGCAGAGCGCAGCCACATCATCGTGTGGCAGGTGTCCTACAGCCCTGAGTGAGGCTCCGGCCTCCCCCGCCCCGCCTGCCCGACGCCGACGTGTACATACAGCCCCACCCGCCTGCCTGCTGCCCGCCCTGCAGGCAGCCCGGCGCCCGCCCCTCTTATAACCTCTCAACCTGCAGCTTTCACCTTAGGGCCGGGCCTCCGCAAAGGCGGGCAGCAACGCGGGTCTGGCTGGGAGGGAGGGACCCTCACCAGGAGGGGAAGAACCTCTCAGGACACGTGCCCCAGCAGCTTCTGGCTTGCCCCCGATCCCAAGTTCTCCCATCTGGGGGGCATTTTGGGGCCAGAGCAAGGCAGGAGGTAGGTCGGGCTGGGAGAAGGCCCTGCAGGTGGCTCCCAGCTCCACCCTGGGCCCCCCACTTCCCTCACTCCCAGGACCCCCCCAGGGCAGGTAGTAGGGACTTCAGCCCGCCAAGTCTTCCCAGCCGGAGCCTACTTGCCTTTGCCTGCTGCCTGAAGGGGTGGGCCTGACCCTAAGGGAGCCGGCCTGGCCACTGGCCTTCCCTAGGCCCCCTGCACCCACACCCTGATGCCTGCCCCGGGAATTGGCATGGAAGCACGTAGCCAGGCTGCCTAAGGCAGCTGCTTGAGAAGCCAGATGCCCTCTGCTGCTCACCCCGTTGTAGCCAGCTCTCCCCAGCTCTCCCTGGGCAGAAGACCCACCTGGTAGGAGCAGGCTCTGGAGTCCTCCCCCTCCCAGAATCCCCTTGGGTGGAATTTCTCAGGCTGCCAAGGCAGGCCCAGGCCTCAGGAAGAAGGGGAGGCCCCTGGTCTCTCCTGGGGTCAGTCCTAGGACACAGGCTCAGCCTCGGTGACAGGGGGACACGTGGTCCGGGGCCTGCCTCCCGCACAGTCTCCAAGGAGCCCCGTTCCCAAGACACACTATGAAGTGCCTAGGGCTGGCAGCATGGCCTGCTCCCCTGAGGGCAACTGAAGATGAGCCTGCGAGGGCTCGTGGCAGAAGGTGCCTCCGGCCGGCTTTAAACATGGATGCCTGCCGGCTTTGAGGGGTCCCGCCCTGGACTGCCACCTCCCTGACCTGCCCAGGTCCAGGCCTTACTCCTGCTCCAGAGGCCCTGCTGCCCACCCACCTCCCACCAGAGAAGCACAGACCTTGGGCAGCCACCCCACGAGCCCAGCCGGCCACCGTCACGTGCAGCTGCAGGCTTCTCCCCACCACCCTGCCACTCTCCACTGTGATGTACGTCCAGTCTCTTCTGTTCCCACGGGGCCGTGAAGTGACTCGGGGGCTAGCTGGGTGGGTGCAGCTGGGGGAAGGGGCTGGGTGGTGATTCTCCTCAGGCTTTGGCCCTGCAAGCGAACCCACGTATTTGCTCTGTATGTAATAAATGTCTTAACATCGTAGCCCTGTGTCCCTGGGCCCAGACCAGCGGGAGCGTTAAGGATTTGCTTCACTTTATTGTCTCAAGAAATGCTGGCCCACGCTGCGGGCCAGGACGGGCCGCAAACTGGAGGGGCTCGCGGGGCCGGGCGTCTACTCGTACAGCCAGTGCCCGGCGCTGTCCTCCCAGCACAGCAGCTCGTCGCCGCGAAACCAGAGCGCGATCTCGCGGCGGGCGCTCTCCACCGAGTCGCTGCCGTGGATCACGTTCCTGCGGGAGAGCCGCATGAGCGCCGGCGGCCGCTGGGGCGTGGCAGGGGCTGGGCGCGCGCTCTGGCCGCCTTACTTGCCAACCTCGACGCAGAAGTCCCCGCGGATGGTGCCAGGCGCGGCGTCGGCCGGGTCGGTGGCCCCGATGAGCGCCCGCGAGGCGCGCACCACGTCCAGCCCCTGCCACACCTAAGCGCGGGCCGGCGGGACTCAGTGCACCGGCTTTCCGTCGGTCCCGCCCGCCCGCCCGCCCGCGGCCAGCACTAACCATGGCCACCACCGGTCCCGAGCCCATGTAGTCCACCAGCCGGCCATAGAAGGGGCGCTCGCGCAGCTCGGCGTAGTGCTCGCGCAGCAGCTGGTCCGAGGCCTAAGGCGGACGGGGGTGGGGACGGGCCGCGCGCGCCGGGGTCCCCGCCCGCCGCCACCCGCGCCCCGCCGCCCCCCGCCCCCGCGCGCCCTCACCTGCACCAGTTTCAGCGCCACCAGCTTGAAGCCCTTGCGCTCAAAGCGCCGCACGATCTCGCCCACGAGCCGCCGCTGCACGCCGTCGGGTTTCACGGCCAGGAAGGTGCGCTCGTGCACGCCGGCGCAGGCTGCGGGGGCCCGCGAGGTCGGGGCGCGTCAGGCCCGGCCGCTCCCGCTCCCCCCACCCCCACCCCGGCCCGCGCCGCTCACCCGCCGGGAAGAGGTGGGCGAGCACCGTCAGCAGCAGGCACAGCATGATGGCGATGGCGGCGGCGGCGGCGGGCGTGGCCTGCGTTTAAAGGGGCCGGGCGGCAGCTGCCCAGGTATCCCCATCCCTCGGGCACCGCCGGGCCGGGCGCCCCACAACACGGTCGTCTTGTCCTCCCCAGCCCTGCCCACAACCTGCTGTGGCTGCCCAACCCGAAACTCAAAGAAAGCACAACCCAGGGCACTGGTTCTGCCTTTATTCGCGCGCAAACGGTTCTCGGCTGAGTCCGGCAGGGGCCGCACGTAGCGGGGGAAGCTACCAGCGCGGGCGCTGGGGCTCCGCGCTGCAGCCCCGCCTACCCCCGCTTCCCCCCCCGCGGCCCTCTCGCCCAGAGCAAAGGCGCGAGGGGCAGGGTCTGGCTCCACGCTCCCGGGGGGGGCTGTCCCAGCTGCAGCCCAAAGGCGTCTTCATTCACAAACCGGGGCCCAGGGCCTGACACCTGTCCCGCGGCCATCCAGTGCTGGCACTTAGACCCGCGTGGCCTTGGCCTTTTTCTTCGCCTCCTGTCTCGCAGGGTAGTCCCAGGGATCCACTCGGGTCCGCTCCAGATTCAGCATGGGCTCCTCGGTGCTGGAGTCCCCCTTTTTCTGCCGCTCTGCTAGAATCATGGCCCGGAGGAGCGGCGGGTAGGGCACGCAGCGCGGAGCGTCCTCGGGCGGCGCGGGCGTGAACGCGGTGAAGGCCGCCTCCTCGTGCTTGGGCACCAGCCGCCAGTCGTGGTACATGACCTGCCCGATCTCCCGGGCCTCGCTCTCCGTCCGTCCTGGAAAGAAGGCCGGGGCTGAGCGCACATGCATTCGCGGGGCAGGCCGTGACCGGCAGCCGGGGGCCCCCGCCCCGTCCCCAGCGCCTCACCTTTGAAGGTCAGCACGCCCCAGGCCTTCCCGTGCTCTAGGTTCTGCAAAGCAAGCGTACAGAGCATCGGCTTGGAGCGCGCGCTCGCCCCCTCCCCGAGGCCGGGGCGCCGGGGAACCCACGCGCACGCACCTGCGCCGTGTAGTCGGGCCGCACGCGCGTCAGGCGCCAGTAGCACGGCTCGTCGTGCTGCCACAGCCAGGACTTGCGCGTGACCAGGCGGCCCAGGCCGAAGAGCGGCAGGCGGCTGAGCAGCTGCAGGAGGCTGCTCTCCCGGCGCACATCCGCCCAGGCGCGGACCGGCAGGCGGCGGCCCGAGTACGGCCGCGTCAGCGTCTCGTAGTCCAGGGCGTAGCGCTGCGAGTCGCGCGGTCGGTTCCGCTGCTCTCGCAGGGCCCGCACGCGACGGGCCAGCTCGGCGATGAGCCGCGGCCGCACCTTCTTCCGCGCCATGGTCTGAGCCCTGCTCGTCCGTGCACCGACCGGAAGCCGCGCCGCCGCCGCCGGAAGCGGCCAGTGTCCCGCCGAAAGGCGTCCGGGTGCGGCCGGAAGCCGAGTGGAGGCCGGGCCGGCGATGGCGCGGGAGGGCTCCGGGAGGGCGGGGTACTTGGGCCGGGCGGGGGCCCGGGGCGGGGGGCGGCGGCGGCCCCCGACCTGGGAGGTCTCGGACTCGGACGGCGAGGGCCCCGCCGGCGCGGAGGCCGGCGCGACGGCCCGCGGGCCGGTGAAGGAACGCAGCGCGGCGGCGGAGGAGCGCAGGGCGGCGGCGGAGGAGCGCAGGGCGGCGGCCGAGGCGCTGCGGCCCGAGCAGGCCCTGCGGCGCGTGGCGGTGCGGGTGGACGCAGGTGCGGGGGGCGCCCCGGAATTGGGTCGGTTTCCCAGCCGGGCAGGCGCGTGGTTTGGAGCCGGCCGGGCCCAGGCCAGGGGTCCGCTCTCCGCAGCCGGGCACTGACGACAGCCATGTCCCTACGGCCCATTGCAGCTCTTCTGGAAGATACTGGTGCCGACATCCTGCTGGAGGCCCTGCGCGCCCTGGGCTGTGAGTACCACATCGAACCCCAGCGGCCGGCCCGGAGTCTCAGGTGGACCAGAGCGAAGCCGGATCCTTGTCCCCGCACTGTGAGTGTATTGGGGCTACAGAGTGCACCCCTGGCCTGTTTGCTTCCCGTAACTTCATGTAAGTCTGTGGGTTTTGCAGACCAGTAAGCTAGAAGCAGGAACGCTGAGGGGGTATCAGTGAGTAGCAGGGTTGGCGTCAGTGGACCTAAACTGACCTTGGACTTGCCCGGGGATGGGAAGTGGGTCATTTATAGAACAGTCCCCGTGGGGCTTGGGCTTGGCTGTGGCCACGAGCCTCAGAGCCACTGGGGTGCCCAAGGCAGGGCCCTGGGGCATGTGAGGGGGTGGGTGGGCAGCAGTGTCTCTGGATGTCCCCACAGGTGCCTTCGGAGGTGTGGGCTGCAGATGAACAGGACCTCCTTCTGCTCCTGGAGCCCGAGGAGTTTCTACAGGGCGTCCAGCAACTGACCCAGGTGCCGGGGAGTTGGGGGAGGGGGGCGGACGGGAGGCAGTAGTCCTCCACACATCACTAGGGGCTGGGCTCCTCAGCCGGGGGGAGCTGCTCTGCCAGTCCCCGTTCCCTGCCCCAGGGAGAGGGGCCAGACACGGTGTGTGCAGCAGCCTGGGGCTGTGGGTGAGATGGGGAAGCCAGGTGGGTTCTTGGCCGGGGAGCAGATGGGGGCTGCCTCTGGAGAGTAAAAGTTAGGTTAAGGAAGGTTCTCTGGAGAGCTGCGTGATAAGGCAAAGGCGTAAGGTTAGACCCTGTTTGGTTTTGGTGTTTGTGGTTTGGTGTTTCTCAAGGAAATGTCGCATGCTACACAAATGGTGGGCTGGGTTGCAGAGATAGAATTGGTGGCTGGGGGCTCAGTGCCACTCCTCCAGGTGCCTGGGAGGTGTTGGGGGCTTTCAAAGGTCCCTGGGCCTTGTGGGAGGCACACAGCTGGTTTCCAACAGGAGCTGACTGGGCAAAGGAAACCAATGTCCTTCTCTCCCCACTGAGTCTCTCTCAGGCCTTCTTTTTTTGTCTGCAAACACAGTGGCTGGGTCACCAGTGGGCCCTGCTTGCTACAGCCGCAGAAATAGGTGTGTTAAACTTTGGTTTGCAGACTCGTGGCCCATCTTGCTCTGTGCCCTGGATCTGTCCTGAGAGCTCCACCAGCCCCCGCCTGGCTGTCATCGGGCTGGATGCCTACTTGTGGTACCAGTCACTCTCATGCCCTTACTAGGCCTGGCTAGGTTACGGGAGTTCAGGGGAAAGGTAGTGGTGGCCCGGGGCTTGCTGGGACACAACGAACTCCCTTTCTTGGGGGCTCAGGGGTAATGACGGGGTGTGGAGAGCCAGAGAGATGGGCATCTCTGCTCAGGTCTCACCAGCCCAGCAGCCAGGAGATGCGACGGCCAGAGAGTCCAGCGGTGGACCATGCCACAGTGGCACTCAGCTGGCCCAAGGTGGAGGAGGTGAGGGCCCATCAGGTGGGGTGAGGTGCTCGCCCTTGGTCCTGGCACTTGGGCTGTTCTCCAAGGCCCCGCAGTCCCGGTTTTGGTCCCAGAGCAGCACGTGGGGTTGGGTGCAGCCGGGTGTCCCCTGGGGGTGACCTTGACTGACCCACACTGTGGGCTCATCTCCTCAGGCCCTGGTACTCCTGCAGCTCTGGGCACATCTGGATGTACTGCTGGTGGCCTCCTGGCAGGAGCTGAGTCAGCATGTGTGTGCCTTCACCAAAGCCCTCGCTCAACGCCCCTTCAGGTGCATGACCCCCACCCTGACTGGTGGCTGTGGCTGGGGGAGGGGACAGGGACACCTGGAGGAGCGGGATCTCTCTGGTCTCTTTGGGAGCAGAGCGGGCCAAGGGCTTTGTGGGGCTGGGAGGATGGGATGCTCTGCAGACATGAAGCCTGTGGAAGCGTCCCTGCATTATTCCCCATCTACAGGCGGTACCGGGAGTCCTGTGCCTTTTCCTTCTGTGTGGCTGGGCGCTGGGCAGCCAGCGAGCGCGTGGCAAGCAGTGGCAGAGGGTTGCGGGGCATCTGGTGGCGGCAGATCAGACAGTTCCACCGGGTCAGCCCGGCTGTGGCCGATGCCATTGTCACCGCCTTCCCCTCCCCCCGCCTTCTGCAGCAGGTGGGTCCCCTGGTACCCCCTCTGGTGTGGAGCCAGGGCCCCTAGAGCTGCCCTGCTTACCCCCATGCCTGCCCTAGGCATACACGAGCTGCAGCACGGAGCAGGAACGCCTGGCCCTCCTGGCAGACCTCCCCGTGAAGATGGGCGAGGGCGTGCGGCCCCGCAGGGTGGGGCCTGACCTTTCCCGCCGCATCTGCCTCTTCCTGACAACCACCAACCCTGAGCTCCTGCTGGACCTGGGCTCCTGACCACACCTGGGGGACAGGACGGGACATGGTCCACCCCATGCAAGGGCTGAACTGCCAACTACCCGGGGGATGGGGGAACAGGGCGCTGCTCCTGGGGTGCATGGGAGGGCACGGGGTGGCCAGAACATTCTCGGGTAACTGGGATGAGCAGGAGAGGAGGTGAGCTTCCCCTGCCCTGGGTCCTGGATACACCGACCGCGGAGCCGGGGCCCAGTTGGGGGGTCAGGAAGGGGGCACACACACCAATCGTGGGGAGACTTGGGAGTGGCACCTTCTAAGAAACAATAAGACAAAATCTCGAGGGAGGAAAGCACACTGGGTGGTCTCTCCTGGAGGGTGTTGTGATGCAGCCGGGCCCAAGGGGAGGAGAGCAGCGGGCCTCAGCTGGACTCCATCCTGTCACCACGGAGGCGTCACATAAAGTCTAAGTTTATTACGGTCGTTTCGGTCTGGAACGGGAGGAACAGCAGCTGATGACATGCAAAAAGCAAGTGAAGGAAACCACAAGGCCGCACAACCGCGCCGCCTCTAACCATATCCTCTTGGGCGCCGACTCGCAGCCGGTCCAGAAGAGCCGGGCCGGCCGCTTCCTTGCGGTGCAGGGAGCAGATGCTCTGGGGGCCTGGGGACCTGTCCCAGCGAAGTCAGCCCTCTGCGTGAGTCATGCCCCTAGAGCCCGGTCCAAAGGGAGGGACGGAGAAGGCGGCCCCTTGGCCCCAGGAAGGCAGTTTTCACAGGAAACGAGTCAGGTCCGCCGGCAGCGCTTCCTCTGGCAGTGCCGGGTCTCGGGGCCACCGGCCGTGGCCTTGGGGGAGGGTGCAGGTGGCTTGCGGCGGCCGCAGCTCATGCTCAGGACCCAGCCCAGCTTGTGGTGCAGCAGCTGCTTGAGGCCAGGTGGCAGGGGCAGCCCCTCCAGCGTGTCCCCGGAGTCGGGCCGCAGCTGGCGCAGCCGGTAACAGCACAGGTACTGCAGGGAGGTGACGCTGGCGCACGAGCGGATCACCTTCATGCTGCTCTTGGCCGCCGTGGAGCACACCATTGGGTAGAACTTCCTGTTCTGCAGCTTGGTGGCCGCCACACCTGGACGGGGAGCGCAGCCTGAGCCCCAGGCTGAGCAGGGGCAGCGCCTGTTCCCACCACCCCTCAGGCTGCCCCCCCCCGCCCCCCGCCACCCCCTGGGCTGCCCCACCCTCTGGGAACCCCGGGGCCTCAGGTTCCTGGGAGGACCGGCTTTCAGGAAGCCTGGGGCCACAGTTCCACACTCTGTAGGCATGGGTCAAGGTCATGGCTGCCCTCACCTATGCACTTCCTGTTCTTAAAGAAGGTGAGCGTCCCGTGCCAGGTGTCCAGGTGCACGCCGATGATGGAGCCCTGGCCGAACCTCGACGAGAAGCTCATCTTGTCGCCCTTGTGATGGAGAAGCCCTGGGGGACAGTGGGATGGGGTAACCCTGCTGCCTCAGGGTCGTCGCCCCCCCCCCCCGCCCTGCCTGCCCTTGGGGCCCCGCGCACCGGTGTAGGAGAGACCCCAGCTGTCCTCATCTCTCCCAAGCAGACTGCAGAACGTGTGGTGGTACTTGTCCAGGTCCACATCTGACGTCCCGATGCCCACCATCTGGGAAGAACGGGGCAGGCAGAGCGCGTCTGGGCACCTGGGGTCACACCTGCCCCCCCCCCCCCCCCCCCCCCCCCCCCCCCCCAGTGCTAGCCACTGACCATATCGGTGCCGTAGACCGGCGAGGTCATCTTGATCTCCCAGAAGTGCTGGCCCTCCCCCAGCTCCTTGGTGCCCCTGATGGCTGCCGTGCCGCAGCTGTACTCCATGTGAAAGTTGACCTTTCGGTTGTCGCAGCTCAGCAGGGTGGCCGAGGATTTATTCAGGTCATCCCACACCCAGTCAAAATCTGCAGGAGCCAGGGGCGGGGGAGGCTGGGGTTGGAGGGCCTGCGGGGCCAGGCTCACCCCTCCCCCCGGCCCCGGGCCCCCCCCCCCCCCACCCACCCCCGGGTCCTCACGCTCGTCCTCCTCCCCGCAGCGGCAGTCCTTGTCCTTGCTGCGGCGCGCCGAGTGCAGGCTGCTGCAGAAGGGGGCCTCACTCTGGCCGTCACAGTCACAGAAGGACTCCCCAGTCACAGGCACAGCGCTAGGGATGGGCGGCGGCAGGGCAGAGGACTCGGGGTCGGAGTCGGAGTCACTGTGCTGGGAGAGAAGAACTGGCTGCTCCCGCCCGGTCCGCCCTCCACCCTCCGCCCTCCATCCTAAGATCCACCGCGTGCGGGGGTCAACCACACCCATGCCCCAAGCAAGCACCTGCAGATTTGGCTTCAAAGGGCTTCCCTGGGTCTCATGAGCAGTTAGCCCCCACCCTTGCCCAGAGCCACCGCCAGTGACCCCGGACACCACCTCTGGCCTCCTGGGAATGAACTGAAGGACTCCACCCTACCTCCACACATCCCTGGGGATACTGGGTGCCCTACTGACAACCAGCCAGGTGGAGCTGCCGGATCCCCAGTTTCTCCTCTGGGCCACCTGAAGCAAGGGAGCCGCAGGACAGAGTCTGCTGCTGACCTAACGAAAGCAGCCTGGCTCTCCCCCACAGGGAGCATGTGGGCTCCAGGGGGTCCCCTCACTGTGGCAGAGCCCCTGCGCCTGTCCTGGGCTATGGCCCTCTGCTCATCCATGGAATGAATGGCTCTTAACCCACAGCACAGGGCCCTGGAGCCCGGTGCTCCCATGTCCATGCATGAAGTTTCTACCACAAGACGTGCAGAGGGGCCTAATCCTCAAGGCACGTGTGCCATGTCTCGGGGGCCTGACCATGGCCCAGAGCCAGATCCTTCCTGAATACCAGCCAGGGCTGCTGATGCTACAGATGTTCTTTGTGCATGGAGCTGTTCCTCTTCTGATAGGCCCCTCTGGACACAGACCCTGGGCCAACCTATAAGGGGCTGGGGTCTCACTGACCAGTCCCAGAGTGCAGGCAGGCTCTAGGTGTTTCTCTGGCAGCCCGGCAGGCTGGGGTCCTGGTCAGGCTCCACCCTCCACCCCCTGCTCTCCTGAAATGCCATCTGCACAGCAGGCCAGGTACCCCCTGCTCAGACCCGGGGCAGGGCCTGGCCCACCTCAGCATTCTGCTGCCCTGAGTGTAAGGCCCACACCCCCTATTGGGGCCTGCCCCCCCCAACTCCAGTTGGGTCCAGTTGTCTCGTCTTTGCCTCTAGAGAAGAGGCTCTTACAGCCCCTCCCCTCCTGTCCCGTGCTCTTATTGTGATCTGCTTTCTCCCACTAGAACAGAAACTGAAAAAAACCTACTCGTTGTGTGTCTCCTGTCACACCCAGGGCTATGGAGCGGCCACACAAGCTACACAGCGGAAACTGCGCTAAGGAGCTCAGAAGCCTCAGAGACAGATGCCAACAGGAGACGGGAAGAAGCCTCAAAGCACCCCACCTGCATGGAATGCTGATCCCCCAAAAGCCAAGGCAGACCCACTGCTAGTGAGAGGCGACCCCCTTCCCACTGTCAAGTGCCAGGGTCACAGACCTGAGCACCGGGGCTCAATGTGGCCAACCCCTGCGCAGCAGCCCGCCCCCAACCACAGGAAAAGCATCAGAGCCAAAGGGAAGGGAGGTGTGTGTTCAGCCTCCAGACGTGCTCAGGGTGACACGCCCACCCACACCGCCAAGGACTCCAGGCCCATCAGGTGACAGACAAGCTTCAAATGTGTGTCACGTGCTATGCCCTGGTCCCTCAACACCTCCTGCATCTTATAGCGATGAGCTGGCCAGGCAGAGAGAGGCGGGAGAACAGATTGCTCAGGTCACGTGGTCAGGGGGAGCTGGAGGCGGGACTGGAATGCATGCCGAGGCCTCTTGCTGGCCTGGGCAGGGAGTCTGTGGAGGCCCTAGGAAGGGGCACAAGACACTACCAACGCCTCCCATTCTCCCCCCCACCGCCCCGGTCTCGCAGTTTCCACGGGGCTCAGCCACCCTCACTCTAAAGACACCCAGCTGGGCCAGGGCAATAACACGGGGTGGCTGTGACGTGGCAGAGCCCAGTCACCCAAGGATCACCCCTGCAGGAAACAACTGGGGTGACTCAGAGCAGAACTGAACTCCTACCCTGGTCTGAGAGCCCTGAGAAGCCATCCACAGTGCCTACCCCCAGCAAATGGGACACAGGCCGCGCAGCCCTGCTGCCCCGTCCGCCATGGCAGGGGTTGGGACAGCGAGGCGCTCAGGGCCAGTAGGCAACCTGCACTGCACATGGACAACCCAGCCGCTCCTCTGACTGCTCCCGGGCTCCCCAGCCTCCCAGAGCTCTGCAGCTGCCGAGTGTGGGAAGGCGCAGGCGTTTTGGGCTCTAAAAATTGTAAGTTCTCTTTCTACATACGTAGACACAAACATCAAGCGTATGACTGTACGAGTGGAGAAAACATCCAGGAACACACACGTCAAGCTACTTTTGGACACTGGACGGATAAACGGAATAGAGTTTTTGTTGAACTGACCAAAAACGCAACTGCTGTGCCCAAAAGACAAGAGAATAGAGAAGGTGGGATCTGCCCTGGGGTCCTGTCACCCCAGGACCATGTGGGTCCTTAACCCGGGGAAAGGAGGGCCCACCTGGCCCGTCCTCAGCCCTTGGGGGCATCTTTCTCTTTCAGTCCTGGCTCAGGCACTGCCCACCCTGGGCGCCTCTACCCCTTAGACCAGCCACGCCCACCTCCCCCACTAGGACCTACCTGCCCATCAGAGTCATAGCCCCAGTTAGTGGTCCCTGCCAGAGCCACAGCCCTGGCATCCGCGTCTCGGTGGGCCGCACTCAGGACAAAATGCCAAGCTCTGCTGCTGCGAGGGCGCCGGGCCATGATGGACAGGATCTGGAAGAAAACCCAGGTTCTGAGCACAGAAGACAGGAGACAGAAACTCCTGTGCTCCAACCCGGGCCGGCTGCGCCAGCCCCGTCCAAAGAGGGGGGCTCTCCGGAGCCATGCAGATGCCGAGCAAGGGCACTGGAACTCTTCTCGACCTCGGACCTGCCTCCAGTATACAAGCACCTTGATGAACGCAAGGCAGAGAGTGCAGAACACCGTCCAGATGCCCATGACTCTCCAGTGCATATCTCAGCCCCTGTCGGAGCTCAGCCTGATGAACCCAGCTGTCGCTCAGGCATCTCAAACCTTGTCTGGCTCCTCCTCTGTTGTCCAGTTTGACAAATGGCATCTCCAACCTCCCAGTTCCTCATGCCAGACCCATGGCAGTCACCCTGGACACCCCTTTCCTCCCTCGGGCACTGGCCTAACGGCCCGACACACCCAGCACCACCGCCAAACCATGTCCTGAACCCCTCTCTCCATCCTCGCCGCCACCGCGACTTCCAGCCACAACACACCTTCACTCTGGCTCTATCCGCTTCACTCATTCACTCAGTCAAAAA